ACTTTTATCTGTTTTAGCAAAAAATAAACTCTTCAAATGATCAGTAAAGGGGACATTTTATCACCTTTATCTATAATTAATGCTTCTCTGGTCTCTGGTCAGGTCCCTGCTCACTTGAAGAACGCTGTAATCCACCCGCTTCTTAAAAAAACGAGTCTCGACCCCTCTCTCCATAGCAGCTTCAGACCCATCTCTAAACTTTCGTTCATCTCCAAGATCTTGGAAAAGGTTGTGGCTAAACAACTCACAGCTGCTCTTGATGAACAGAACATCTATGATAGCTTCCAGTCAGGTTTCCGTAGAGCTCATTCTACTGAAACAGCTCTTCTTAGGGTCTCTAATGACCTTCTGACCCACAGTGATGCAGGGTTCTGTTCTGTTCTGGTCCTGCTGGACCTGACTGCAGCCTTTGACACTGTTGACCATCACCTGCTACTGGAGAGGCTGAGAGACTGGGTCGGCCTATCAGGATCTGCTCTGGAGTGGTTCTCCTCTCATCTGCGAGCTGTGATTGGCGGAGGTCCCAATGGAGCGTTCCCAGACCAAACTATGCAAAGCTTGGATTTGGTTCACTAGGCTAGTTTCCTGATAGACACCAGAGTTGTTATGATGAAACAGGTGATTGAGCTCCGCCCCCTCTGAAGCTCTGTAGCTCAGGTAGACCAACCGGAACGAACATCCTCCAGAGTTTAAGTGAGCCACAGGAAGTGGGAGTTTCCGTGACTGAACTGGTTCTGATCTCATTCATGGTTTTGACACAGCTTAAGTTGGAAGACTGTGATGAGTTACTTGTGGCTACCATGGAGGCCACGATGAGCCACTGGCAGCAGCTTTAACATTTCTATTCATCTTTGATTTTGGTTTTATGTTAAATTATGAAAATTTTAACCTTCATGTCTCACCACCAGAACTAAAATCACCATTATTTCACTTCCCTCTTGTGAAACTGTAACATACCAGCTGCAGCCGAACTCTGACCCCACACGCATAATTAGGCACAAGTGTGCTTCTCTGAATGCCTCTGCATGCTGCACATCCCAAAGCTGCATTCTCACTCATTTAATTACACCATTCATTACTGAAGAGCCTGTCACCACAAGCCTGTGGTTCTGTCCCAGAGAGCAGCTCGGGGTCTCGTGGTCTGGGACAGGGCCGGCTTTGTGTTCGACCCTGTCCCCTTCCACAGTGGAGCGCTTCAGCGATTTAACATCTCCATAAGAAGTCGGAAGACCCTCTCCAGCTCCTCTCTGTTCCGACAACCAAACCCAAACAGCCTGCAGAACCAAAACATCGTGTCAGCGAGCTGGACTCAGACTCCGCTAATAACCAGACAAACGGAAAACTTCACGCTAATCTAAGCTGAAGGGAGTTGTGTTTCATCGTCAGATCACTGTTTGGTCAGCCGAAACGAGGTCAGACGGGTCCAGTTTAGTAGAACCAGTACCAGTACCCACTCACTAAATGAGATGTGGAACGACCTCCAGGCTAACCTCGAACAGGAACGACTGATTCACAGGAAGTTCCTGATGTTGACAAATGAAGGAATCAGAATTGTTTTGGTCTTGAGAATAAAATCGAGGTACCTCAGTGGCCTGAGTGGGCGTGGCCTTTGTTGGAGGGCGTGGCCCAGGCGTGGTGGCGACTTCCAGCATGACGCAAGTTGTTGGACTAATTCTTATATCAACTCTCCACCAGATTAAACATGAACAGTTTGAAAGTAAGAAGAGAGACTTCTTACAGAAAGTCTGGAAAATCAAGATTTCAGGAAGTCTGAAGAGACGAGGGGTTGGTTGAGACTTTAGGGCTGTTTGATGCTCCTGGGTGGGTGATTAGTTTGTTCACAGCTGAAGGGTCACATTGCTGTAAATCCACAGCAGTTTGCTCAGAAGTCAGTCTGGTGATGTTTACCGTTCCCCGTGGCTCCGTCCATCATTTCCCCTCAGCCATGGTGCGTTCACTGACCAGAACGCTGCCAGGAATCAGAGCTGCTCTCCCTGATTCAGAGTTAAACTCGGCCAGCTTGTTATCTGCATTTTCATCTCAGCTAATTAACATCTGAAAAGTTTGGTTTCTGCAGAAGAGAACAAACATAGTGTCCAGAAAAAAAGAAGTCTATGGATCCAAATTAATGACGTCACAAGATTTTGACATCCCCACGCAGGTTTTAACCCTCCCAGGGATTTAAACCAGTGACCTTCTTGCTGCGACCTAACCCTAACCAACCGCATTTAAAGGGTTAAAACATCGCCCCAAATCATCTGTATCTGTTATTCATGACGAGGGCTGAAGTTAATATGAAAATATTCAGATCATTTTTCACAGTTCGGACCCTGGAGGGGCCCAAACTGATGGTTTCAAGCTGCTCCCCAGTGCAGGACTCATGAAGAAACAAAGATCTCCCTGCAGACAGATAGATGTGGTTGAAACTGATCGTGTTTCCACGCCCAGAGCGACTCAAACTCAAACTCACACAGTGGAGAAGATAAACATCTACTGTGAAACAAAAGATTAAAGGTCCAAGAACCAGACCTGGAGCGAGGACACTCCGCTGGGGTTTGTCTGACAGCGAGCTACGGGTGTTGGGGTGGTGGAGGGATGCCATCTTACCAGGGGCATCATTGCCGAGGCGCTGGGTGACACCTGTCCTCTGAAGTAATTATGGAGCTCCACCAGCAGCTCCTCCTGCTCATCGCTCAGGAAGCTCCAGGCTCCAGGAACCAGCAGAGACCCCCCCAGCAGCAGCAGCAGCCAAGCCCAGGAACAGGCTCCCCCAGCCGGGCAGCGAGGGGTGGGTTGTGTCCTCAGCTTGGAGCTCCATAAAGAGGCTCTGTCCTGGGGGGTCTGGGGGTCCGACGCACCCTGCCGCTCATAGACACTCCGCTGATGCATGATGGGTAAGAGAGTCCAGTGGAATGGATCCTGAAGTTGCCTGTCCAGAGTTCAGCAAGCTGAGTGTGTAGAAGTGTGTGTGCTCCCTCCTCAGTGCTGCTCTCTTTCCTCTCTGCTGAAGGTTCTGGTTCTGATCCAGTTTTAAGTGAGACAGGATCCTCCCTACACACTCCAACATCTATCATGGTGAGGTCCACCCCCCCACTGGAAAACCCCGCCCCTAACTTATTGCTGCTGGAGTGTGAAAGTGAGACGGCCTCTTTGAGAGTCAGGAGATAAACTCATCCGTCACACAAACGCAGACACACATCAGTCTCCAGGCGCCGCCTGGTACGACCCCCCCATCTCCCAGCCTCGGTGTCATCCTCTTGCTCTGGTTTCAGGTTTTTGTTAAAGTCTCTGTGGTTTTAGTTTGGGTCTCATTTGTTATTTTTGTTCGTCTTTTCTGTTTGTCTGGTTCTCATTTGTAAAAGAAGTGAGTTTGAGGAACAACCTCTTGTTCCACAGGACCGTGAAAGCTTAAATCTAAACATCACATCATAAAATGAAATAAGATGACCTCATTGGAAGGGTTTGAAATGTGAAAATGAAAAACATGCTTGAAAACTGCCTTCCTGCGACTGTCTGCTCACATTCTGATTGGTCAGAGTTTTAGCCTTAAGAATCACGATGGAGAAGAACAGAGACGGTCAGAGGGAGCGGCATTGTGTCTTTGGAGGTCTGGAGAAGCTGTGGTGCATGAGGAGGTCTGGAGAAGCTGAGGTGCACGAGGAGGTCTGGAGAAGCTGTGGTGCGTGAGGAGGTCTGGAGAAGCTGTGGTGAAGGAGGAGGTCTGGAGAAGCTGTGGTGCACGAGGAGGTCTGGAGAAGCTGTGGTGAAGGAGGAGGTCTGGAGAAGCTGTGGTGCACGAGGAGGTCTGGAGAAGCTGTGGTGAAGGAGGAGGTCTGGAGAAGCTGTGGTGCACGTGGAGGTCTGGAGAAGCTGTGGTGCATGAGGAAGTCTGGAGAAGCTGTGGTGAAGGAGGAGGTCTGGAGAAGCTGTGGTGCACGAGGAGGTCTGGAGAAGCTGTGGTGCACGAGGAGGCCAGGAGAAGCAGTGGTGCACGAGGAGGTCTGGAGAAGCTGTGGTGCACGAGGAGGCCTGGAGAAGCAGTGGTGCAGGAGGAGGTCTGGAGAAGCTGTGGTGCACGAGGAGGCCTGGAGAAGCTGTGGTGCACGAGGAGGCCTGGAGAAGCTGTGGTGCACGAGGAGGCCTGGAGAAGCTGTGGTGCACGAGGAGGCCTGGAGAAGCTGTGGTGCACGAGGAGGCCTGGAGAAGCTGTGGTGCACGAGGAGGTCTGGAGAAGCTGTGGTGCACGAGGAGGCCTGGAGAAGCTGTGGTGCACGAGGAGGTCTGGAGAAGCTGTGGTGCACGAGGAGGTCTGGAGAAGCTGTGGTGCACGAGGAGGTCTGGAGAAGCTGCGGTGCACGAGCAGGTCTGGAGAAGCTGCGGTGCACGAGGAGGTCTGGAGAAGCTGCGGTGCACGAGGAGGTCTGGAGAAGCTGCGGTGCACGAGGAGGTCTGGAGAAGCTGCGGTGCACGAGGAGGTCTGGAGAACCTGCGGTGCACGAGGAGGTCTGGAGAAGCTGTGGTGCACGAGGAGGCCTGGAGAAGCAGTGGTGCACGAGGAGGTCTGGAGAAGCTGTGGTGCACGAGGAGGCCTGGAGAAGCAGTGGTGCACGAGGAGGCCTGGAGAAGCACTGGTCGATGAGGAGGTCTGGAGTAGCTGCGGTGCACGAGAAGGTCTGGAGAAGCTGTGGTGCATGAGGAGGTCCTGAGAAGCTGTGGTGCGTGAGGAGGTCTGGAGAAGCTGCGGTGCATGAGGAGGTCTGGAGAAGCTGTGGTGCACGAGGAGGTCTGGAGAAGTTGTGGTGCGTGAGGAGGTCTGGAGAAGCTGTGGTGCGTGAGGAGGTCTGGAGAAGCTGAGGTGCATGAGGAGCTCTGGAGAAGCTGTGGTGCATGAGGAGGTCTGGAGAAGCTGTGGTGCATGAGGAGGTCTGGAGAAGCTGTGGTGCACGAGGAGGTCTGGAGTGGCAGAGAAGAGTGTCAGAGAGGTGCAGGACATGTATGAGGGCTGTGAGACAGCAGGGAGGTGCTGCAAGAGTGGCAGAGGTGTAGCTGAGTCTGCATCACGGTTGGAATGGGTGGAGAAAGTGTCAGGTGTGATAGAAGGATTCCAGCAAGAATGAAAGGAAGGGTCTGGTTTAGAGATGGTGTCCACCAGGAGAAGACAGGATGTTGAGGGTAACGTTAGGAGTGATGAGGATGGACAGGATCAGGAATGAGTCCATCAGACGGACAGCTCATGTTAGATGTTCAAGACATGAAATCAGACCGAAGCCCAATCCCAACACTACACGTGCGCCTTTCAATTGTGCAATCCTGACCAGTGTGGAAGTTGACCACGCCCCTTTTGCCCCTTTGATCCACACTTGACCCAAGTCCGCATCGCTGCAGCATTGTATTACCCACAATCCATTGCTGTAGGAGAAAAATGCCTTTTCTAAAAATATGTATCTTGACGTAACGATGTGAGCGTCCTGTCACTGTGACCCGATTGATCACGCGCCCTGGCCCCTTGGCCAAGGGGACGTCCCTTTGGCTGACTGGTTAGCGGGCGTGACTCTCACCAGAGAGTCTGGACATCGAATCCCGCCCGGGCCCTCGTTTCTCCCCCTCGTCACATTCAAATGAAAGTAGAAAGTAGGGAGTACCCTCCTGTTTGTCCGCTGACTGCTGGAGATGGTCCTGGTTCTGGTCTATAGGGCCTTACATGGACAAGCACCATCTTACATTGGTGATCTTCTCAGTCCCTACACCCCCAGCAGGTCCCTGAGGTCCAGTGACCAAAGCCTAGTGGTTGTGCAGCACCAGGCTAAAGGTCAAAGGTGACAGATCATCTGCTGCTGTGGCCCCCAGACTCTGGACCTCTCTCCCCCTGAGCCTGAGATCAGTGGACTCAGTGGTCTCCTTTAAAAAGCAGCTGAAGACTCACTTGTTCAAGCTGGCTTTTGGATGACCTTCTTCACCTCTCTCTCTTTATTCTGCTCTCCCCACCTATTCCACCTTCCTCAGGATCCACTGATTTCCCTCTTTCCTGTTCACTCTCTCTCTTTCTTTACATCTTTAATCACAGTTGTCAAATTTTTTTTGCAGAGCAAAGCTGCCCTCCTGGTGTGAGGGTAGCTGTGAAGTGCCTTTTTCCCTCCACCTGAACCAATCCTCATGAAAACCTTCTGATCTCTATTAAGGTAGCGCGAGTCGGGTTGCGAATGACCACAGTCACCAATTCTTGTTATGTGTCTATGCCCATGTGTGTATGTCTGATCTCTGAATTGTGTCTACTGAAACTCTAATTTCCCTCTGGGATTAATAAAATAAAGTATCTTTGATTGATTTTTTGCTCATTTTAAATATATTTTTAACCATTTTCTAAATTCTTTTTTATATTTTTACATTTTTGTGAAGCGCCTCGTGATTTTTATCTTGAGAGGCGCTGTAGAGATGATACTTTCTTCTTCTTCTAACTAATATTTAGGTGTTGACTAATCCGACAGAACTCTTTTCACCCGTTTCCATTCCCACCTGGATTCTGTCCTGAAGCGTTTTAAATCAATTTCCATGACTTCCAGACCTTTTCAGATGGGAACGCCATCAGTCCTCTTCTATTCCTGTTTGTCGCTCTGATGCTTTTCTGCCTTCTAAAGTTTTTGGACAGGACGTCTTCAGAAGGAGACGAACTGGTAGGAGCTCCATGAGCAGCTCCTTCTTCATGTTAAAACGTTCTTTTGTTGTTATATTCTTGTTGTTGTTGTTGCTGCCAGGCAACAGTGAAAGAACGGAGCCAGACAGAAACCCAGCAGCTTGAGGATCAGACCGAACCACATCATGGAAAGGGTGGAGGCAACATCTGCCACATCTGTGCGTAACAAGTTCAGAACAAACAGAAACGGGCCCTGGGGACCGAAGGATGTGTTTCAGGAACGCCTCAAAGCCACGACACGACTAGTTACATCTCCTCTGATCAGGGGGAGGACCTGAGGTCCGGGGCCGGGGTCAGGTAAGTCACAAGTGGCTCTGACACCCGAAGCTGATGGGTTCCGATCTGATCCTGAGAGGTGGTCTGAACTCAAGGCCGGCGCTGTTTTCCTTCTCATATCAAAACACGCCCGGCCGTACCCACAGCGCTCACATTTCACCGTGCAGCGCAGCACATTCCTCGCCGAGTCGGGCTGAAACCAAACCCTCAGAGGTCACCGTTTGCAACACAACACCAGCCCGATGTGGAGTGTCTGCAGCGGGACACGGTCCATGTGTGTCCTGACCTCAGACCTGATCACACACTCGGCAGCAGGAGAGACAGGGTTGTTTCAGTTAAACGAACATCCTGACTTGACCTTTGACCTCACTGAGGTCATGAGTTGATCATAAAGGAAACAAGTGTGTGTGTTTGAAACAGGAAATAACAGCAGCTTCCTGGTTCAAAGGTCAACGTTTTAATGAAACATCCATCCAGCCCATCATCCCTCTAAGCTGTGACATCATCAGTTCGTGGCCCGAGGCAGCGTTCTGAAACGTGGAGGTGCTCCAGCACACCTGGCCTGAACAGGTGACCCAGCCGCTGGATGGCGGACCTGCAGGAGCAGGGCTGGTCAGAAGGACGTGTAACCAGAGATGCAGGTGTTCTCAGGGCAGAAGGAGAAGGAATCCTACTGGGAAAGGCGGTTCTGGATCTGGTTGGGTCAGCTGGAAGGAGACCAGCTGGGACAGGTTTCATGCTGCACGGGGAACGTTTCAGGATGTTTGATAAGAGGAAGAAAATCCACCATTTTGCTATGAAGAACAACAACTTTCAAAGAAAAAAGAAGAAGCTGTTAGAGTCGAGTCTTCTGCAGCCTGGAGCTCAGACCGGACCGCACCAACACGAGTTCTGGATCCATACATCATGTGAAGAGTATGTGAGCGGGCCCGGCCCATGTGATGCTGTTGCTGACCGGCTGCTAATGGCTCACAGATGAGCCTGTGTGTGTGTGTGTGTGTGTGTGTGTGTGTGTGTGTGTGTGTGTGTGTGTGTGTGTGTGTGTGTGTGTGTGTGTGTGTGTGTGTGTGTGTGTTGGGTGTGGACCCTCTAGTTTATGATGAGTTCTGGGACTTTGAGCCAGCTCTCTCTCTGTCACTCACACACACACACACACACACACACACCAGAGTTAAACATCATCTCCATCTTCATCCTCCTCATCCTCTGTTCCAGACCTGTCTACCTCAGCTCGGTGATGTCATGGGTACAGGAAGTGGAACGCTCCCCAGAGAGTGCAGGTCTGACAGCCGGACCTCCGCCCAGGAACCGGAGAACCCTGGGACTGGTCTGGGTTCTCTCCAGTTCGGTTCTGGAAGGTCGACGACGGTTCCGCCTGCTCCTCAGTAACAGGACCAGCGAGAAGGTGTGAAAACCCTGAACAGCAGCAGCAGCAGGTGTTCCCAGGTGTCACCTAAGAGAGAAAAGCAGCAGAAAGATAACAACAACATGCTCCGGGGCTCGTCTTTCTCCTGGACTCAAACTGGGAGGAAACCAGTGAAAACCCCTAAACACACAGCCTTCTAACCAGCAGAACCAGCAGAACCAGCTTCACGTCGCTAAATAACTTTAGTTACTACGTTTAAGTACAATTATACGGAACCACTGGATGAAGTCTGCAGCTGATTAACGTCTGGAGCCAACAGGATGCAAAATGGACGCCACCACTGGGGAAAAGGAGTAAAAGCTAGTCCAATTTACCGATCTGGGCCGGGACAAACAAACCAGAAACTTCCTGGGATCCTGATGAAAACAGGAAACATGAGGGGTGATGGACATGGACCCGCGGGACAATCCAGAACCAGAACCTGAATCTGGGCCATGAAAACTGTTCCCTGGCTCAACGACGTTTACAGTTTAGGTTTAAAACCATCAAAAGAAAACATAAATAAGAATGAATGATTCAAACCTCCTGATGCGGTTCAGAATTCCAGAACCATCCACAGCCTTCCCCGTCGTGAGTCAGGATGGGTGAGTCCATGAATGTTAGTGACAGGGTGACGTAGATCTGTCAGGGTTTTATAATCCTAGAGTTTCACCATCTGTTTTCTGTCAGAAGCTAATGCTAATGCTAGGTGTAGGAGACTATTTTCATGGCCAGCACTCTGAGTGACCGGTCAGAATCAGAAACATGTTTTTTTGTGAACCACACCTTTAAACTGGTTCTCTGAATCAGGATTACTAACACTTTGGTGGATTGTTGGTCTGAAGTAAACAGGTGGATGCTGGGAAAAAAAAGGCAATCCTATTGGGGCCAAGGCCTCATCGACGCCCCTTCACGCAACTGCGGACCGTCCCCAGGTAAAGGCATCAGGAGTAAAATTTGACACTGCGTTGGGTTTTGATGCACATGTACATGGAGCAGTCTTCTCCTCTTTTATCATTTACGACACGACACGATCTGGAGGCAGTAGTTCACGCTTTCATTACAACCCACAGTGATTACTGTAACTCGGGTTTATTTGGGGTGAAGCCGGGCACCTTAGCAAGATTACAACTTGTGCTAAACTCGGCTGCCAGATTTGTGGCGTGTAAAAGGAAGTTCAACCATGTTAAGCCGGGCGTACACTGTGCGACTTTTTCACTTTTTTGAGCCGATTTTCCACTCGTGCGAGAATCCACGAGATCGGGGCGAGTTTTGCGCCGAGCGTCGTGTAGTGCATGAGAGGTGTTTAACACCACGTGACCAGCTACCGATCAGCAGTCGTGAGCTCGCACGGACTTCTGGCGTGTTTGATATTTTGCTCGTCCCTCGTGAGGGTATCGCACTGTTGAAGCGGCGCTGCGAGCAGCTGCGACCCAAAAAGTACCAGAACCGCTCACGGCGCATGCGCAATCCTGCATAAACACCACTCGCCCGCTATTTCCCTAATAACACATGTTGTTCGTTTCTATTTCTACACGTTTTTTTACTCACAAAGATTGTCAAGAAAGCGTGTTTGTCGTGTTCATGTCAAATTAAACTGATCACAAAACACAGATTTACTTTCTTTATTTCGTTTTCCTCATCCAACCCCCATAAATCCCTGTGTCCTCCTGCAGCACTCCCGAAGGACAACAGGCAAAACAAAAAAGTCTGACGTGTAAAAACAGCTATTTTTAGCATAGTTTTAGTGTTGCTACCAGACGTACAGCGTGAGCGCCTGGCTCGTGAGATCTGCCCTGCGAGGAAGTCGTACAGTTTGAGCTGAAGCTGAGTGCTACGAGTGAAGAAGTCACACAGTGTCCGCCCAGCTTTACTCCGGTCCTGGATGAACTGCACTGGCTGCCTGTTGTGTTTAGAGTTTGTTTTAAAATCCTTTTATCGGTTTTTAAATCACTGAATGGTTTGGCTCCATCTTAACGTCTCCGTTACAGCCATGTACCCCGGTACGGGAACGTCGTCTCCTGCTCTTTGTGCCCAGAACATCTCTAACGACGCGAGGTGACAGGTCATTCTCTCTGGCAGACCCTAAGCTTTGGTGCGAGATACCGATCTCTGTGAGGGCTCCCACTTCAGTTTTTAAAGTTAGGCTGAAGGCGTTTTTATATGACGTGGCCTTTTTAACCTGCTTGTTTTATTGTGTACTAAATTCTTTTAATTCAGCCTTTTATTTGCTGAACAGAGCTTTGGTGTTAGTACCTGTAAAGCTCTATATCAATAAAGATTGGGCTGAGTTGGGTAAAGATTCCACAGTTTGTTTACTTTGAGCTTCCCCGAACTTATTTAGATGAATGTTTGTTTGTTTACTCGGGTCTGAATTGTGGTGTAGGGCCTATGGTTCTCTGGTTTTGTCGAGGGCCTCTCTCTCTCTCTCTCTCTCTCGCTGGTTTTATTTTAGTTTTTTAGACTCTGAATAAGGCGTTGCAGGTCAGTCAGGTTTGTTGGAAAGGACCAGACGGAGCTGCTTTCAGACCGAGTTTGTTTCAAAATCTGTTCTATAAAATGTGTTGGATGGAAGTCAAGAACCAGAGCCGTTAGTAATGAAGGCAGATCCAGAAACACACTCAGAAGGGTGGAGGAGAGAGACGGAATAAAAAAACAAAGGAAAAATAAAGAGAGAGAGGGGATGAAAGGAGAGAAAATAAAGCAAAGGATGTGGATGAAAGAACAGGGGATTTCTGCTGAACAGAACCGGAAATGGATCCACTTCTGGTTCTGTTCGGCAGAAATCTCCTCTGGTTCAGCTCTGCAAAGTTTTCCTGTAGACAAATAAAACCCATGTCTCTTCTCCTCCAGAAACAGCCGTGATCAAACCATCAGTGGTGCTGTGCTGCCCCCTGCTGGACACCGGAAACCAGCAGTCTCCATTACCCGGTCACTGGGAGACGGTGTAATGCCCCGTTTGACCTGACGGTGGCAGCACCATGCCACTCTTTCAACTGTTGAGCTTGATGTGACGTAACGAGCATCAAGTCCAGGACAGAGATCCAGATTTGGTTTCTACCTGATGAGTTTATTTTATACCCTAAATAATATTTTATAAATATGGAATAAACGGTTTGAGCTTCATAAACATCATCAGCTGGTTCAGATCCTTCTGACTTCCTGGGAATAAAATCTGTTCAGAAAAATAAACTAAGTCTGGATGTACAAACAATAGACAGGATAAAAAACGCAAAACTAAACTAAACCAAATCTTACTTTTAGATTTTTTTTATCTTTACAAACTGAAACTAACAGAGCTTGGCCCTCAAGGGCCACCGTCCTGCAGGTTCTGTTTCCTGCTGCATCAACCTTTATTCATTTCATCACGTGTGTGTTGGAGCAGCAAACCAGTAAAACCAGCAGGATGGGGCTGGTTAATCCTCTGGGTCTTTCTGCAGCTTGAAATCCATGCAAAATAAATCCTGGAATTCTGGGTAAAAAACTCAGAGCGGATCAGCTCGAGACTAATTAGCCCTTATGATATTGTGTAATTATATTAAATTGTTATTCTATCTTCCAAATGCATCTCAGGAGGCTCCTTCAGAATAAAAGCTGCAGCCTCCTGCGGCCCACTTCCTCACTTGACCATTTTGCATGAAACATCAAAGGTTTTGTTTAATTTACAACTCGGTGTTTTACATTTTGCTTTGAATAGATGACATTTCAGCATCTGACTGTTGGGCGAACATTAGCCAAATCTGAACGCTCTGGCTTGAATCAGATCCAACGGTCCTGACCGTTTCCTGTTTCTGATGAGCTGAAGAACGTCGAATCGTTAAAACTCCACATCCTCAAGAAAATAATAAGAAACGAGAAACATAAAACGTCATTTAATAAATAAAAATAGAGTTTGACTTAAATTACAGCAGGACACGGGCAAGCTCTGGAGCGCCACCCACCAGGAATCTCAAAATAAAGTTCAGTGGCGTTCCAGATGTCTCAGGTGTTGTCGGTGAACACCTGACCCAGGATGGCGAGTCGAGCGCTGAACGGCTGAACGGGGCACGACAGCGGCGGTGCCGTCTTCTTCTCTCCCGGTTTCAGAACGATGCTATCTGACCGGTTTGGGGGCGGGCCCTCTGCCTGTTGTGATTGGCTGTCAGCTCTCTCCCCAGGCTGTGATAGGCTGAGCAGGATGTCCTGGAGCTCCTGGCGGTCCTGCGTGTGGCGGCTGCAGCAGTACAGCGCCGCCGGGTCTAAAGGATGAGCCTCCGTGTTAAAGATGAACCCCCCCGCTCCTAAAACACACTGCCCTCCCTCTCCACCCTCCTCCCAGGACCCGTCGCCCTCTCTTCCCCCGCCATGCAGGAAGTGGGCGGGGTCAAAGAGGAGGTAGAGGTACTTGATGGTCTCAGCGAGGAAGAAGGACTCCATCCTGTTGTCTAGCTGATGATCTCTCAGGTCTTTAACCTGCAGAAGCAACAGGACGTTTCAGCTTTGACCGCAGGAACTTCAGACTGACAGCTGGAGGAAACAACAACAACAACAACAACAACGGCTAGAGTGAAGCATCATGAAGTAAATCTGTGTTCAACCTGAATCCGAGTTATGGATGAAAAAGCTCTTCTGATTGGCCTGAAGAATCTAAAGTCCCTCCCACCACCATGTGACTGCCTGACTCACGCTGGCGTATCCGCAGGGCGTCCTAGTGATCCGCTCGATGGACTCGAGGGCGTCGAGGCCCAGCTGCAGGTAGGTGTGGTCACCTGTGGCTCTGAACAGGTACATGGCGCTCTCGATCAGCTCTGAAGCAAAGAACCACAAACGGGTGAGAGATAAATGACCCGTCCTTGTCCAGCGCCTGTCAGACTCAGAGGACTCCAAAGCGCTTTACACTACATCGCCTCATTCACCCATTCACACGCTGGCGGGGATGAGCTACGAGGTAGCCACGGCTGTCCTGGGGCGCACTGACAGAGGCGAGGCTGCCGAGCACTGGCGCCACCGGTCCCTCTGACCCAAGGACACAACAGCAGCGGGATCGAACCTGCAACTTAGGCCACGCCCACCAAGAGCCAGACCCTCCACCTACTGAGAGGCTGAGTCTACGCTTACAGACACATAGGCTCTGCCCACTGGGATATGCCCCGCCCACACACAGTTTGAGCCTCCAGAACCGGACCTCCGCTCCGCTCAGGTGACGGCTGGTGTCGGTGGACCCACCTGGTCTGAGGGGGTACCCCTCCCTCTTATCCACGGTGTAACCCTGAGGGATGCTGTAAAACTCAGGCAGACCTCCAAACTGTCTCCACACCGAGTAATAGTTCTGGAACGTTCTCACGGCGCCGTCCAGGTTCCCTAGCAGAGACTAAAACACACACAGAGATCGATGAAGACCAGAACCAACCGCTGCGCCATGGTGTTTGCGTGCGTTTACCTGCAGACCGGGCCAGAAGGCCTCCAGACTCTGGAAGACCGGCATGGTGACGGTTCCTTTGTGCATCTGCACCCACAGGTACCAGTCGTCAAAGCGGGTGTAGTTCTGGATGGCCCGATCATACGCTGAAAGGAAAACAACTCGGACTAAAACCTTCAGAGGTAAACCCAGGTCCTGCAGCTGGTTCTGGTTCAGTCCGGATCTCACAACTGAGAGGGAATGTGGTAAAAACGAGAACCAGGAAGTTCTGGATTTCTACCGTGGAACATGTTGAGAAGGTCTTGGTCCTGCAGCATGATGGCTCCCTTCACCAGATACTCAAAGTAAGAGTCCACCCCCGCTCCGATACCGGCGTCCTGAGCGACCCACTTCTGGGTCACGATGTCGACGTGGTTCCCCACCTGAATAGGGTCATGAACACACCAGCTGTTAAGCGGGTCCAATCCGGATCCAGTCAGAACCTTGACCCAGAAGCCAGACTCTTAAAGTGCTTCTGGAACAACAAACCTTCAGAATCTCTGAAGGTCTGAAGAGTTTATCTAAAAACTTTCACTGATTTTTCTCTCGGCTTCAGGCCAAAACCAACTAGAAACGAGGACTGGACTCGGATCACCTCTCGATAGTTAAAGAACCAGAACCAGACGGAGTTACCAGTCCGATGTCAGATCTGGTCCTCCAGAGGGCGCTCATGGCTCGGCGAGCTGCGTTCTCAAACGTCGGGTCTCCAGTTAGCCGACTCAGCGTGGCGAACTCCAGGATGAATGTTCCGACACCAGCGGTGCAGGTGACGGGGGTCTCGGTTGGACTGACGCCGTACAGCAGGTTTATGGTCCCGTACGGCATCCCGGTGGGCGTCTGGAACGCTGCAGGCACCCAGACAAAGACAACAGGTTACTGGTTAGACCCAGATCATCAGAACCAGAAGGTTCGGTACGTCTGTATCAGAAAAACATGTACCATTATGCCCCCACCATCCTTCCATCCTAACAGGAAAGACTTTCATCTTTATTCTCTGGAGCTTTTCCAACCTGTGGGGTTCCACAGGGATCCCTTCTAGGTCCTCTGTTTCAGTAATGGTGTTTTTGGGGACTAAATTTGGTCTGTTTGCTGATGATTTTGAGTTAGAAAACCGTCATCCTCTCTAAGAACTCTGGCTTTTCATTAGGGATGCACCGATGGATCGGCATTTGATCCCAATCGGCCGATAGCGCCCCTATCGGTTTTGATCGGAGTTTTCAAAATAGATCAAAGCAGACCGATCAGGTAGGGTTGTCACGGTAACCGATGTAGCGGTAAACCCCGGTAAAAAAAAGTTGACAATAATAATAACCGTCTTGTTTTTTAAAATATATTATCTCGGTGGATTACCGTGGCTGCGGTGTAGGCGCGGTGACCCTTACCAGCCACCGTATCATCTGCTGAAGTTGCCGGTGGCACATGCGCACTTTGTTGTTTACAACCAAGACTTTCTTGAAGCTAAAGCTGAAATAATGGCCAGAGGAGGAGACGGCAGCATGCAGGACATTTATTATCCCTCAAAGAAGACAAAGTGGGAAGTACGGGCATCTTTTGGATATCTGAAGAATGTCGAGGGACAGCTGATAGAAGACGGCTATCCTGTTTGCAGCACGAGCAGAAAAAGTGTCTGTGAAAGGCAGCAACGCTTCAAATCTCATGACACATCTGCGTGACCATCACCCACAACTCTACAGTCAACGCAAGGCAAGCTAACGTTAGCATTTTAGCTAAAATGCGTGATCCGAGGATTTGGGTTGAGGGAGAACGCACCGAGTCGCTATATAAAGCAGCCGCAGCGCCGCTACCTGCATATAAACCGTGTCGCGGACACCGCCATGTTGAAATGACGCTATGCATTACGGGGCTCCCAGGGGCAGATAAGAGTTGGTCTCTCTCTGAGAATAATTATGAATTTAACAACGATTACTGCCTAATGACATTTTCCCACATCTGCAAAGCTCACTGGAAGGACACAAACCGAGGACGATATTTTCCTGATATAGGGAAATAGGGTAAAAAAAAGTACCTGATTAGAAGGCTACTCGAGTACTGAACATCATCTGATCTAATATTTTTAAAATGATGACATCAAACAGACATAAAATAAGAAGTTATGGGCAAATATTGGTATTTTAAAGACTAAAAGGGAAAAATGTAAACAAATAAACAACATAATTACAAAATAACACATTTTAGGCTAAAGTTAGACACAAACTGAGGACTATATTTCCTGATATACAGGGTTCATTTAATTGTCTGAAAATGTAACACGTAAAAAAAAAAAAAATACCGGGATAATACCGAAAACCGTGGTAATTTTGGTCACAATAACCGTGAGGTTACATTTTCACACCGTGACAACCCTAATACAGACCATTTTAGATTAGGTTACATTTCCTTTATCCCCAGATTATGTAGTTTGTAGCACTCATTATAATGTTGTAGAAAATTTCTGGCCAATCCACGTGATCGGTATCGGTGATCAGCAGCAAAAAACCTCATCGGTGCATTCCTAATTTTCATACCAGGGAGCAGTTTCCTGGCAGCATCTTCAGCCATCCTCAGCAGCGGTCCGGAACAGGGCCAGCCCGGCTCCAGATCCATCCCTCCTCGTCCCGACAGCAGGTGAGCCGAGAGCAGCCCGCCCACGACTGCACAGACAAACACAGATGTCGTCCACCAGCTTTCCTTCTGATCCACCTCCCAGAACCGGAAAGGTTTTACCTCTGATGTTGGTCTCGAACACAGACGCGTTGACATCGATGTCAAAGTCTACCGTGTCCTGGAGGAGCGACGCCACGCGTTGGAACTCTGTCCGGTTTCCCAAAACCTTCAGAGACACAAACATGTAACTCTCATCCCATCCGAATGCTGCCGGACGAACAGATCCCACAAATGTTCTCTCACCAGGAGAGTGTCCAGAGCGTCGATCAAAGTCAGAGAAAAACTACGGAAGAAAACAAAACAACCGAGTAAATAAATAAGTAAATAAATAAATAAAACAAATTTTTGTTAATCTGTTCAGCAAAAACACCAAGAGTCTGAATAAATCCCAAATTAGCTTCAAAACGTCAATAATCAGTAAAAGCTGGAGACTGTTGCACCGTTTAACCCCCACTGGACATCACCTGCCCCAGGTGTCGTGCCCGTCACAGGTGAGTGGGCGGAGCTCATCGTAGGGGAAGGCGTTGTCCAGGTAACTGTTGTAGGCGTGGTAGAACATGGATTTGATGCGTTGCCTGAAAAAAGACAGGAGTTAAAATCAGTCCAACCTGATTTAATAGGTAACAAGTTACAACCAGAGAAAACCGGGTCAGACCAGCCTGGGTCGAGACCGGTTCCGATCCAGATTCATGAACGTAAATGCAACCGGTCCGCTTCTAGAGCAGGGCGGAAACAGCTGGTCTACCAGGTGAGCAGCACCTGGGTGTTTTACCTGACCGCTGCCATGTCTTCCTCAGAGAACTGACGAGACGCCGCATCGCTTAGCAACCACAGCAGCAGCGCCGCGCAGACGGGAGCGCGCATGGAGACGGGCACGGACACGAGACACAGAATAAAAGTAATTTAGAGGAGAAAAAAGAGGAAAACGACAGAAGCTCAATTCTGCAGTCGGAAAACCGGAAGTAGACGCTTCTTGCTAGCTTTTCAGTGGCTGCAGCAACAACTTGGTGAACAGGAAGTTGATCAAAGGCGCATGCGTGGTCTTGGGCGCAGACGTCTAATTTTACGTGATGTTTCATTGGACACCACGTGGCTCCAGGACGTGATTATGGCCGCCATATTGGCCAAGGCATCGTGGTTAAACTAAAATGAAATAAGCTGTAAAACACATAATTTCATCCAGAATAAAAAATGTTTCTCTAAATAAAAAAATCAACCTTCTATTATTTGGCTAATTTAATCCTTAAATGATGTTTAGTTTCACACTAGATGTTTTCCAAAGAGAAAGGAATCTGGAGAAATAGGATCGAGAAGCAACTGTTCTTGTCCTCGGTAATTTGCCACATCTGAACAAGAGTTACTCACAAATTTTTTTGAATGAGCAGAAATATTATTTTTGTAAACATTTAGCAAATCCATCCATCTATTTTTGTCCGCTTATCCGGGTCATATCATGGGGGCCGCAGCCTAAGAACAGAGGCACAGACTCCCCTTTCCCCAGCCACTCGGACCAGCTCCTCCAGAGGAATCCCAAAGCGTTCCCTGGCCAACTGAGAGACTTAGTCCCTCCAGCATGTCCTGGGTCTTCCCTCAGGTCAAGGCCGGATTAACCATATGGGCAACTGGGCAATTGCCCAGGGCCCACGAACTCTAAAGGGCCCAGCGCAGCAAGGGCACGAGCAAAATACTGTATCTGTAATCTCCTGCTTTATATTAAACTAAGGTGACCGTACGTCCTGTTTTCCCCGGACATGTCCACTTTTCACTCTCTGTCCGGGGTGTCCGGGAGGGGGTTCTTGTATTGATGAAAATGTCCGGCGTTTCATCCAGGAGCAGGGATCGAATTATGGGGGAGCAGGTGTCAGTACAAGATCTGCTCGGGTGCAAGATCGGCTCGGGGTCCTTCGACTGCCGATGACGTCAAACCCACTCGGACAAAATACACTACACATCTATACTGTTGGAAAGAATTTAGCAGTTTCGTTATTAAAATAATGTTTCTTAAGACGTTAGGTTGTGTTTATAATGGTATTTGTAAAATAAAACACTGTATTGTATTCATAATGTTGAACTCCTCTTTGATCACATCCCTTGAAGGATCATAGGTATTAGCAACACCTGTGAAATTGTATTTGCAGGAAAGAAGTGTGTCCCGTTTATTGAAGTATTTTGTGTTTAGAGTTTTTGACGTCTTGTCCATGCGTAGTTCAGTTACGCTCATAGCTGCTAGCCATAAACTCTGGAGTTAAAAGTTTTCTGGCTTTACTAAAATACCTGTCTGTACTTATTTGATTGATGGTAGTTTTACTTTCTATTAGACTCCAAATGTAATCATTTTGCACGTTTCTAATTCATAATTTGTAATAATGTAATCGGTGATATTAGCATTAGCATTCCTATGGGTTTTTCCATGTATATTAGCATTGCGCTAACCACTTGCTGCCAAATTGCAGCCTTTGCGATTAGAAAATCTCTTACATCAGAGAGAATCAGAATCAGAGAATCAGAGAAAGCTTTATTGCCAGCGCTCCAGTGAACCAGAGCATACGAACTTGACTTCGCAGAACAGCCTGACCAAGGTTACACACACATGTAGATAGAACAGATACAGATCTTGGCAGACCACGAGAGCAGCCATAACGGCGCTCATTTCAATTAGATGAAAAGGGGATTACATGAGGAAAGTTGGGGGAGGGAAAAAAGAAGGCATACCAGAGTTACCCGCGGCAGGGCATAGCTCTACTATGCAAAAAACGCCTCAAACATATAAGCACGAACATCACAGTTCACAACATGAGACTCCGATAGGGAGGCGGGGGTGGTGGGTGGGTGTCTGGGATCCTGTTTCCTCAGCGGGAGCAGCCCTGTGTGGCGCTCAGCCAACTGTATCCACAGGTGGGTGGGAGATTTTGGGAGGAGCGCAGAGCAACATTGAGTTCCTGCAGGTTGATGACCTCGCTAGGCAGAAGACCACACTCTGAAGGCCGGGGGGTGGGGGTGGGGGGGTCGGGTTTTCACAGCATCTGTCTGCATTCCTTCCTTCGTGGGGGTTGTTGTTAGCAGCTCAAGGCTGCCTTGGCGTCAGATGGTCAGGCAGATATAATTTTCCTCTCTGCCTTGAAGTCTGTATTGATCATTCAAGTCCTCCAGTGAAGCTCATCACCACCAGCAGGTAAATGTGTGTGAATGGGTGAATGACCACTTGTGTTGTAAAGCACTTTGGGGTTTTCAGAACCCTAGAAGACACTTTATGATTACAGGCCGTTTACTTTTACCCAACAAAGTTGTTTTGTGTTGACTTTGATGAATTTGTATAAATATTAATGAAATCAATTAGAAAACATCCAAACATAGGCATCAGATAGGTTCAAATCAATCAAAGAGAGGTGGTTCTTTTCAACAGTAAACTGATTTTCTGAATCGAAACTTTCTCCCAGATACAGTTTTGAACAACTACAATAACACAAACAGTCCAATGTGAATGAATTCATTAAGCATTTATATAAAAATAATGTTTCACAGGAAGGAGAACCTAACCGGGGCCTTCCACCGGATGTGCACGTGTTGCGTAACGAAATAGACGCGTCTTCCCTGTGAGCTCATCGTTGCTCCTGCCGTTGACTTCCTGTCTGGCCCAATCGAAACTGCTGAGCTTGTTGTGTTCTGGAAGCGCAGCTACTCAAAAAAGCCCTAAAGTTAGCGAAGCTACACAGCACAACAATTTTGGGATGCGTCCAAAATGTGCCACACCCATCAAAACCACCGGTGGCTATCAGCTGCTTTGCGAGCGTAACGCAACGCTTACACATCCGGTGGAAAGCTGTGGTAACTCTTGGTCAAGTTCCCGTTGGAACGGGATTCAAGGTCAGTGGACCTGAACTTTTTCAATCCACGCCCTCCTTTGGATCGCCACGACTAACTTACAGATCAGAGGTCAAACAAGTCTCTTTGTTAAATCCTTGAAAAACTCTATTAGATATAATCCTGCTTATTTATAAACTAACGTCATAAATATTACAGACGATAAACTAAAATAATCCCACCCTCCACATAAACAGCAGGATAATCATGTTTAAGGATCTTCTTCCTCCGAAGCATCGTCCTCATCCTCGTCCTCGTAGAAGACTTGTCCGTTGGGCTGCTCCCGCCACCTCAGCAGGATGTTCACGCCCTGATCCTTCAGCTTCAGTTTCAGCTGAAACACAAACATTAGTTGCTGAGCTTAAACCTCCCCGAGGCTCTTAGAGAGCGGCTCTGGGTTCAAGGAGCCGTTTCACCGACCCAGAGGGGAGGTTTGGGTTTGTTTTTCCACAAGTGTGTGAATGGATGAATGAGTGTGAAGCGCTTTGGGGTCCGCTGACTCTGAAAGGCGCTGTACAAGTGCAGGTCGTTTATCATTTATAACTAAAAGAATAATAATGAAGGAGAGGGATGTTCTCATGTAGATGTTCTCAAACCTGAAAATCGGAGATAATCGTAAAAATAACTGACTAGAACTTACCTGACTCAGCAGGTCTGCCAGCACAGCGGGGTGACTCAGGTTCAGAGAGGAGTCTCTCACCAGCTTCAGCTTCACCACTTCTTGTGCGGCACCTTTGAGGAGCAAAAACACAACATCAGTTCAATCATGGTTGGACATTACCTTCAGATTTTCCATCAGCTTTTTGTCGTGTTTGGGGTTCCATTTCAATCTGCCTGCCTTCTCCAGTCCGAGAGCTCGAGGGAAGAAACGTCTGCAAACTAGGCTGAGGTCACACAGGAAATCAAAAGGCTGAGGTTTGCGGGTGATTCGGTTGTCTTCAATGCATAAATCTGTCAACAGAAAACGAGTTTCTCCATCTGTGAGGCGTTGGTTCTGATCTGGAAAAGGTGGAAGGCTCTCTCTGAATCAGAAGTGAGTCCGCCTCAGGCAGAGCAGCCGACAGATCCTGGAGTCTTGTTCCTGAGAGTTGGTGGGATGGAGGAGAGATGGACCGACAGACCAGAGCTTCATCTGCAGTGATGAGGATGTTGATCTGGTCTGTTCTGGTGAAGGAGCTAACCAAAGCTCTCAATTTACTGGTCTGTTCACATTCTCACCCCCACCAACGGTCATGAGGTTTGAACTGTGGTTGAAGCTGTTCTAGGGACAACTCTGGAGCTTACAGCTGACTGGACCAAAGAAGAGGCTTCAGAAGATGAAAAAAGACGATGGACAACCCTGCTCCTACCCTGAGCATTGCCCGACTCAACTCTGCAATCAACAACAAACTATCTTCAGTCAGGACTCTGCTGCAGCACAGAAGATCCTTCCTTCCCACAGCTAGACCAACATTCAACCAGCTAAACCCAATGAGCCCCATCTGGCTAGAACCAGAATAAAGCTGCTATAGCTAAGCTACAGAACGAGCTAGGTTTTGAATGCAAACACTCACCCCTCCCCTCAGATATCTTCGCTGGTTCTCCGTCCACCGCAACTGGAAACCCGCAGTGTGAGAGGAAAGGCGAGAGTGCAAAACACCAGTGGCTGTTTCCTAGGTGCAACCATCTTTGGTTGTCCGTGACTTCAAGTGGTGTTGTTCTTTTTGGGACTCTGGTAGTTTGTCCAAAAGATGAAGTGGTAGCAGCCGGCTGGTCCCAGGGACGTGTGGTACCTCTGCGAGACTCACAACCGAATGGTCCAACAGTTGTTTTCAGTCCAAGCCGTCTTATTGGTGGAGGTTTTTAGACAAATGCGAGAAAACCACTTTTATTTTTCCTTCTTTTATTATCTCTACAATATATTTATAGGTGTGCAACTTTAGGGACAACAGTAGCTCAGACGGTAGAGCGGGTTGTCCAGTAATCAGAAGTTTGCAGGTTCGATCCCGGCTCTGACCAGAGAATACTGCTGTTGCGTCCTCGGGCAAGACACTTCTCCCACCTTGCCAATTAGGGATGTAGGAAAACATCGATGTGGCAACATATCAAAAGATTTAGTCCAGCGATATTACATCGATATTCAAAAGCCATGTATCAAATTTTTGGAATACTTTACATGCAAACATT